CAGTTCACCACCTTTGACTCCCAGTCTATGGCACTTTACTACCGTCCCAGCTCTTCACAATTTTTGGTCACCCTTCTCGAGGTAACACTGTTCTAGTCGATCAGCCCCTTCATAATTTCCTGAAAACAAAGATGGCGGAGTTTGTGTAGCGGCTACATTTATGGTCCTTCTCTACAGTGCGGACTAGGCCGCGGAGCGGTTAAGATTCCAGAAAGTACGATGTTTACCACCTAATGTCCGACCTAGCCGTGCGAAATTTAGGCACACTGTTGAAGTTTAGACTCACCATGAGATGTAGGCCGAACTGTAAGCCGTGGAACATGGCATTCAAAGAGGATAGAGGATTGAAAGGTCTGCCAATCTCGGAAGAAAAGCTATAAACACCTACAGAATTTGAGCTCAAAAATTTGGTGCAATATTTATGGGACACCCTGTAAGTGCGTGAAATCTCCGTCAAGTGTTATGTCAAAGCTCACCCATAGAAAACTGCAAGTATTGGTCCGGTACTGGTTCACTTTTCACTAACTCCTATGTAATAAGATTCCGATTTGCTTTTTGGTCTATTACTGGAGAAGCCGTCGCCCAGAATTGTTTGCTAACTATGTCATAATTTGTGACCTCGGAAGGGCCTTTGTCGTGCACCCATTAAGCACTTAAGAACCTGTCGCCGCTTTCTCGACAGCCCCATTGAATCGTATGAACTTAGCTCCGGATCAGGAGAAAGCACGGAATTTCGATACTATTCGCCCGAAAACACGTTGCAAAAACAACGTACTCATTTCCAAGGTTATCGGTACCTTATTAAGGAACACTTAGCGAGTTTCCGTTTCGGTTTTGCCGCTACATAGCCATGTTATGTAAAATCGAAAGGGATCGTGTTGATGTTTGCGATTGGCCTTGGGGCATTCGCATAAAAGGCGGAAGAAAAGGCGTTAGGCACTCAGTGCTCACGGTTCATCGGTCTCAAATTACTTCTATGTAGAACACGATTTCTCTAGGATCACGAAGCAATCTCTCCGTTTCTGCTCCTCCTCCTCGTTACATGTGTTTGATCCTTAGCTATACAGGGGGGGGGGGGGGAAAAAAAAAGACATTTTGCCCAGGTCGCACTTCGGCCTTTTTTCTTCGCAGAGATTGCCGTCGTTGACGGAAGTTCCTCAGCAAAATATTCCCTAAATGTCCCTCTATAAGTACACGCAGGCCCTCCTTCACTACCCTCACCGTCTTCAGAATATGACGTCATCTGTCACCGTCGTCGAGCTCAGGGAGGCCTACAGTAACTGCTTCAGCCTGAAGCTCTTACATAATTTCTTGGATCGATTCAACGTGGGATAGTTTCCTAGGGACATTAGCTCTAACTATGCAAACCCCCTCGGAACCCCCTTTCGGTAGTACACGACCGAGAAACCCCATGAGCTCGACCAGAGCACCATGTTTCCGGGGCAAATTTTCTGATGCCGACGTAGTGCACTATGAAGATTTTTTTATGAAATGAAATGCGCTCTTCAATTCTCCTAAATTGGGAGCACACGCTTTGAGCTGAGCAAAGTGTGATTAAATCCATTGAGTTTGGAGACAAAATGTCTTTTTTATTGCCCCCCCCCTGTATAGATACATATTTTACAAGTGCATTATACAGTATACAGTATACAAAATGCCGTGCTTCAGATATGGGAACAACGACTTTGGCCGGCGGCGTGGCCGCTTTAACAGCTGTGACGGTTGTTGTCTCACTCGTGACCGTTGTCTACATGATCAACGACATCAACGCCTTCTATGACGATGCCCTACACGAGCTCGGTGACTTCAAAGTGAGCACCAGTTATCGCAAAAAACAAAGTTGTTTAGGATATCGCGAACTCCGCTTGGCACGAGATGAGATCGGACCCCGAAATTGCACGTCACAAGCGAGCATCAGTTGTGTTCCGCAGACAGACTTACAGCACCGGTGGAGGTTCATGCAACTGCGGTCAACAGCCGAATAACTGCCCTGCAGGACCACCAGGACCTCCTGGACAACCCGGAGAGCCTGGTGAAAATGGTGAACCTGGCCAGCCCGGAAAACCTGGAAACGATGGTGGGTCTGGTGGAAGTAATGGAGGCAGTGATTGCATCTCGTGTCCAGTTGGACCACCTGGACCACCAGGACCTGATGGAAGCGCTGGACCACCTGGACCTGATGGAAATCCTGGAGCTCCTGGAGGTGGATCTGGACCGTCACCTCCTGGACCTCCCGGGCCACCCGGAGACGCCGGACAGCCTGGTAGCCCTGGACAACCTGGAGAACCTGGTCAACCTGGAGCTCCGGGAACCAGAGGAACTGGATTGCCTGGACCTGCAGGTCCCGCAGGACCTCAAGGATCTCCTGGACAACCTGGCCCGAATGGAAATGGTGGCGGAGGAGCCATGCCTGGACCACCTGGGCCACCTGGACCAAGTGGAAACCCAGGACAGCCAGGACCCGATGGACCACCTGGTCCTCCTGGAGAGGATGCTCCCCCAGGGGAAGACGCAGAATACTGCCCATGTCCCGCACGAAATGGAAACAATAATTACGGAGCCGTCAATAGTGGAAGCAGCGTTGGAAGCAACGCGGGAACCGCGGATGTTGCCAGCAATGGAGCCAGCAGTGGTGGACCTTCAGGATACGCAAGGTACAGATCCAGTCGTCGTTTCGTTGCCAAGAAACGTGCTGTAATGAGAAAGGCCGCCAGAAATGCTTAATTCTGCTCACGTTCTCATTGATTTGGAGTGACAATAAAAAGCTTTTTCAACCTGAAGTTTCTTGCATTGTAGTGGTGAGATAAAAGCACAAGATAAGCATCAGTGCTTTCCGCGGAGAAAATTTACGTGCTACATCTACACTTATACCAGGTTGGTCCCCCCGTCGACCGCCGGGACCTTCTTTCCATGCATACGCTTTACGTCCTGAAATGACATCAAAATCTAACTGCACCCTAGGCCTGCTGGGGATTGGTTTTCCGACAATCCTCCCCAAACAGTCCTGCGAGCTATACTCGATATCGGTGAGTTGGGGTGGGCGTGTCACCGGAAGTGACGTGCACTTGATAGAAACTATGTGGATAAGCTGCTTCCAACATACATCGCTGGCGGTGCTATACAAGTAGGGTGGGCACGCCGCATTTTTTGAACAGAAATGTATGTAAGTGGGACTGCTGCCCGCTATACTGTCACGAGAATCGGGGAATTCGTGAGCCAGGGGGAGTGTAGCCAATCTAGGGGGTGGGGGGTGAGGGCAGTCACTTGACATGCGTGAAAAGCTGAGTGTACCCACCAGGGTCAACCGTCCGTTCGAACTGTTCGAACGAAGGGGTCGCATTTTGGTCGGAAGGGGGTCGCAATTTCGAGGACTGCCAGCCACAGGCGCGTGCGTGGCGTATCCGAGGGCAAGAATTGTTTGTGCAGACCGCATTAGATTCGATTATTATGCACAGAGAGACAGTTTTAGGCAAATTACGGTGTTTTCCTTGAGGAATAAAGAACAGTTGAATGCATCCCTATGAAAGGTTTGACTTCTCGGGGCTGAAATTAAAGTTCTTCGGGACCTAATTTTCTGAGGACGATTCTTCCAGACAACGGTAAAACACATAAGAAAGCAGAAATCTCGTAGTCTTCAAAAATGTCTTCGCCCCTCCCCAACAAGTTCTTTGAAGGAAGTTATTATTGCTGAAAGCTCAAAAACTCGCATGTGCTGCTCAAAAACCTATGGGAACAAAATGTTCGAACGTGTGATTTTCTCGGAAAATGGATTTTGAAAAACGGTTTGGTGCTTGTTAGAAAGAGCAAATCCTGCACTTTCACCCATGAAAAAGTGCATCACAGAAATGAAAATGAAGTGAGTTATGGTCGCTGAAAGCCCAAAAACTCGCTTTTGCACAAAAAATGTTCGAAAGTGTGATTTTGTCGGAAAATAGATTTTGACAAACGGTTCGGGGCTTGTCAGGAAGAGCAAA